GAGAACCAAATGACTGGAGTTTGATCTTTGGTGTAGTAATCTGAAATATAATGAGAATGAAGAGACCAGAGCAATCACCAAAGCCCCTCTCCACTCCAACAAGTTTGATGTGAAATAGAAGATGTTGGGGAAAGGAAGTGGCTTCTGTTTTTCTGTTGTCCTCTCTGTCAACATCCATGTGATTTCTATAGTAAGAAGAAAACTTTCATGTTTTTTTCCTATGCGTCTCTTTGTTTGAGTTAACATAACCTTTAACACTGGAAATAAAACAAGCATGCACAAACACATGCACACACACACACACACACACACACACACACACACACGTAAATCCAAACAGAGCTAATGATGTTATTACTGACCTTCACAGCAGTCTTGACACACCATAAATTAACCTTTGGTTTTCTCTGCAGTTTATGTAATCCTGTGGATATTCTGCCTTCATGAAGACATCAGCCTGGATTTGCTAAATGTTGTCAGCATTGTCACAGAGCACATGACCCAGTGACCTCTGTTTCAGTTGAGTGAGTTGTGCCAGGGTAAATACTCTTTGGTTTCATAGCAGAAGCTGGTGGTCAACAAATAAAGGTTCATACCTTGGCATGAGTACTGACCTCACGCCAAGTGGTCATAGCAAGTACAGAAGAGTTTAGCAGAAGAGAAGAGATGAAAAGGACTGTGTTCTCCAACTAAAGATGCTATGAATAGTCTATTGACTATAAAGAAAAAACATTTTCAATTTTAATTTCAATTTATATCTATTGACTATAAAGAAAAAACATTTTCAATTTTAATTTCAATTTATATCTATTGACTATAAAGAAAAAACAATTTCAATTATAAATGAAAGAATATAGCTTAAAACATTATTAAAATGAGACTTTGTGTCTATTCCTTCAAGAAATATTTGAGTAGTATAAACTAAACACTTTTCTCGTGCTGGGTATACAACAGTAAATTAAGATAGGAAGCAAAGACTTGTTGCCTCTTACATTGGTATTATGGGTTGAGTTGTGTCCCTCATATGTTGTAATCCTAACCCCTAGTACAACAGAATGTGACTATATTTATAGACAGAGCTTTTAAAGAGGTAGTTAAGTAAAAATGAGGTCATTTGTGAGGAGGGGAGGGTAATCCAATATGACTATTGCCCTTATAAGAAAAGGAAATGAGAACACAAACAGGTATAAGGCAGAAATGCAAAGACACAGGGTGAAGATGGACATCTATAGGCCAAGGAGAGAGGAGGAACCGACCCTCAAAATACCTTAATATCAAACTTCTAGACTCTAGAAATGTGAGACAATAAATTTATGTTACCAGTCTGTGATACCTTGTTATGGCAGCCCTAGAAAACTAATGCATGTGGATAATGCACATAGGGAAGACAACTTACTCAAAAAAACAAAAAACAAAAAACAAAAAAAAACCCACAAAGCTTTCCAAAATATAATCAGTTTTTGATAACATATATTCTTAAAATATTACCATATGTACATATTAACCCAATTATGTATTGCAATAAATCCAGAGTGCTAGAAGTAATTTATTCAATTAATTAAATAAATATTATACTATTAATGTTTGCTCATGTGCATAAAAGGAATTAAATCTTTTACTAATTTCTTTAAAATATAATTCATAATAAAGAAATTTTATAAATGAAAGAGATTTTGAAAAAATCTAAGTAAAGAATAACTTTTAGTATAACTTTAATTAAAAACAAACTTCTAGGTAGTGTTTTAAGTTCTTTTTATATATCATCTCTTCAGTAATACAAAACGTTAAATTGTCAAACAGGTTCACAAGAATTCTAGCTTACTCAAAGCTATACATTACTAATGATTTGAAAGATACAACACCCTAGAACACATTGGGACCAAGTGATAGAAGAGAACTAACAGTGCCAACTCAGGCAGGGTGGTGGGAGCTGCTTGCTTTTGTTTTGTTTTTTGCTTTTTTTAATTTTTTTATACTTGGTTAATCTTTCAACTGTAAAGAGATTATACAATTTACAGTCTCCTCCCAGTTGTCTCTCATAATTTCATAAATTTGAGTTTATTCACAAGAAACACTTTGGACAAACCAAAAGATTTTTGATAATTTCCAGTTATCTTTCCATGTAAATGCTCTCAGTTTAATTTCACAAGAAGGTCTGGTCTCAGGTCAATAGGTCCTTAGAGAGGATGGAGGGAGGGAGTCTCAGACCTGCTGCCAACTCTTGCACTATCAACATCATTTTCATTTGCCACAATCTATGAAATCTATGTTACTTTGTTAAACAGATTTTGCAGATGAGGAAACAGGTAGAGTGATATTCTTCCCAAAGTTTAACAGCTCTAAGTAGTGGTGCTCAGATTCAAACACAGTAGTGAGTCTAATGCATCCTTTAATCATTGATTTTTACTGCCAGTCTAAACATTCTATTTCTTTTCTTCTTACAAAGATTTACAAGAATTTATAAAGATAAATGCTATGTGATATTATCAATGGTCAGAAAAACTCTGTAGTAAGATGTCACTTATTTTTTGTATTCGATATATTTTAAATCATAGAAAGTACTAACTCACACTATCACACACACACACACACACACACACACACATACACACTCTGGGGTAGAAAAACAATTGAAAATTATAACAGATAATCCTTTACATATCTCCATCTCTTACCCACTAAAAATGGGTAACAAATAAGCACTTAAGTGTTGATCCCACTCTCGTACCAGGGATCAGGTATTCAATCATGAGGGCGGGCCAGAAGTCATTGTTGCCTGGACTACCATAAAGACAGGTAGATATCACATGCCAAAGTCTGAAAATGACATTGACAGTATTATTTATATGAAAGACTACTAAGCATTATTTTATACACACAGAAAGGAAAAGCAGATATTGTTATCATTCTCATTTCACAGGTAAAAGCATTGAGATAATAAAAGAAGTCAGGGATCACCCTATGTCAGGGAGTAGAGCAGTGGCCTAATCAAAAAGATTTAACACCAAAATTATGTGCTATTCTTTATAATTAACCTACAAGTATGGGATATAACTATATAGGTGTGTGTGTATGTGTATATAGATATGTGTGTGTATGTATATATACATAGACATAGATATAACCAAAATCTTTCAGAAACATGTAGAATATTAGCAAATCAATTATCTAATCATTCAAAAATGTCCATATCGATATATATAATAGATATGCTGAACAAAGTGAAAAATAATTTGTGGAAATAATATAATTTGTTGCATAAATGTTTCCTTGAAAAAAAAGACAATGATCCTTTGATCTGGGATATAAATCAAATTTTTAAAACCAAAAAGAAATTATAATTCAAATGAAGATTTGAACCAAACACCCCACTTTTGACACACCGCCTACTTAAAAAAAATATATGACCAACACCTGTGAGACTCCTTGTGGAATCTGCTCTGATAATATTTTTTTTCCTGCCCCAGAGGATAAACATGAGAACTTAACCTGTCATTTACTATGCTTTATTACATTATTTCATGTGTATGATTCCATAGACTACATATAGTTTAGCTTTGTATTTTATATTAGCTTTGTGTTTTAACCTTAAGACAAATGGAAACAGAATGATCACACTTTCTTCTTTTTTCTCAACAATTTGGAGATTTAATCACGTTGTCACATACATCTGTACCTAATTCATATTCTCTAACTAATAGTCATTCATGATTGGATAACGGATTCTCCATTTAGTTTTCTATTCTACTGGTGATTCATATTTGTGATGTTTTCAGTTCTTACACTGTGAACATTCTCATACATGTTTCTTCATATGTACAAAGGTCTCTCTAGACTAGGCATTGGCAGATTTTTACTATAAAGGATAAAAGACCAGATTGTAAATATTTTCAGTATTGTGACCACATCTTACAATTACTCAAATCTTTCCTTTTGCACAAAATCTATCATAGACAACACATAGAAAATGTATATAGTCATGTTTCAATAAAACCTGATTTACAAATTCAGGTAGTGTGTCATGTTTTGTCAATGGGCTGTAGTTTGCACATCCTTGCTCAGAACATGCCAATGCTAGAACTGTAAATACTAAGTACAGAGCATGACATTTTAAATTTTAATTGATAATATCAAATTATATCCAAAATATATACTCTCATAATGAGTATATAGACGTTCTCTGAGATACGTATCCATATGCATATCATCAGTTTTAATAGTGCCAAACTGCTACCCAAAGTAAACACATAATTCATACTCTCACAATAAGCATATAGAAATTCCCTATAATCTAGTTCCTAGCTAAGTAATCTCTCATCCCTCGGCATACTGTAATTTATTCTTTAATTTTTTTTTTTGAGTTTAGTCCATTCTCATTCATGCTCTCCTTCTTCTTGTTCATCTTCCCCGCCTCCTTCTCCCCCGACCCCTGCTTCTCCTCCTGCATTTATTTTCTTAGTTTCTGATGATAGCTTGGCTTTTATATCTCCAAGAACCTGAATGTTTAGTGCTTGTTTATTTTCGTTCTTAGCGTTGTATTATAATCACTCTGTTTCAATTTTTGTTTTAAACTGGGAGATTTTTATCTGAAATGTTTTGATATGCATTTCTGTTTTCTTGCTATATAGCTTTATTTGAAATTGATGTGTTCTCTCTCTATATATATCTTCTTTCTAATTCTAGGCATTTCATAAAATAGATTTCTAGTTTAGTGAAGAACTGCATCTTTGATTGCAATGTTAGTGGTGATGTGAGAAGAGTAGGCATTGATGTGTTTTATCTCTCTTCCGTTCCTATAAAATTCTTAATTTCACTTTATTCTGCTTTCACTCCACTATCAAATATGAAGGGGCACTATCCCTTCTCTACTTATCTCCTTCACACTTCACCTCAGAAACAACCTTATCTCTGGTTACTTTTAGCCCTGTAACTGCTATCGTTAACCCTCAGGTTTCAGGACTACATTTGTCAAATTAGTACTTAGTTTTGAACTTTTTCTACCTAGAGAGATTTCTTTATTCCTGTAGTTCATCTATACCCTGTTCTCTTTCAGTATGTCCACAGAGATTTTTAAATTATCCTATTCTTCTCTCCATCCCCACAGATGTGCAGTAGAAGTAGAGCTTGAAAGGGCAGTTCTTTTGGAATTTGGTGATTATTTTCGAACATTATAATTTAAAACTCATTCCATTCTCTGTCTCCTACTAATTCTAAATGTGTGAGTCATGTGTTATTTGATGTGTCCTCTGTCGTCCTTTTTATTGATCTTAAAGTTTTACTGAGAGATTTAGAATCAGGTGACCATTATTTTCCTATAGCTAACTTGGAAATATATCTACTTTTTAAAATTTGTATTAACCTGAGGGGTGTGAAATGCTATGATTAATTTGCATTTTGATTATGTAGTTGAGCATCTTCTATACATTGATTGGACATTCAGTTTTTTTTTTTTTTTCTTATGTAAGATGCCTTTATACATTTTACACTTTTTTCTATTAGGTAAGTTTTTCTTTTTTTACTTTAGGAATTCTGTATATATTCTGGATGCTAATAATTAGTTATCTATGTTCAAAAGCATTCCTCCAAGTTTATGACTTTTTTTATCACTCTCAATATGTTAGACTTTGATGAAAATATTTTCTTAATTTTAAGTTGTTTTATTCATTTAGTATTTTTTCTTTTACCAAAAATTCTCCCCTAATAGTACAAAGATATTCTCTGTGTTTTATAAAGTTTTAAAATTTTGCCTCTTAGATTTAAATCCTTCATTTATTTGGAATTGATTTTCACATATGTGATCTAGGAATCCATACTCATTTTTATCCATGGATAGCTGGTTGTTCCTGTACCATTTATTGAATATGTTCTTATTTCTCTTAATTTGTTTGCAGTTCTTTCAAATATAGTGTTTCCATATGTAAGCATATTATTTAGAGCTCACTATTCTCTTTTATCAGTCTGCTTGTCTATTCATGAATCAATATTGCAATGTCTTAATTACTAAAAGCTTTACAATAAGTGTTGCTAAATGAAACATCAAATAACTTACATAAATTCTTCTTGGCCATTCTCTCTACCAGGGTTATTTTAAAAGCAGCTTCTTGAAAGTTCTGGTCAAGATGGTAGGTAAACATTGCGTGTGCTGTTTCCCATGACGGCATTAAAATTGCAGCTAAATGATGAAATAGTTATCTGGAGAATGATCTGGAGACTAGCTGAACATAACTCCTATAACCTAGGATATAAAGAGGAGAATAAAATGAGACTGGTATCAGGGGCAGAGATGCAAAACGGGCTGGTCCCACATTCACGTGTGGTGGTTGAACATCGGGAGCTATATCTTGGCTGTGGAGCCCCCTTTGGAGGAGCGAGGGCCACCAATCCCACACCAGGGCTCCCCAGCTCAAGATTACAATGCTGGGAAAAGGAGTCTCCACAAAATCTGGTTATAAAAATCAGTGGGGATTCTGGCCTCCCAGGTGAGATGGAAGGCAGCTGGAAATCCAGATGTCCCTTTAAAGGGCCTGTGCACGGATTCACTCATCTGCAGGCATTCACCCTAGACTCAGGTGGAGGGAAAGCAGCTTGGGAGGTGCCAGAGACATGCAGAGAAAGACTGAGATGTGTGGCGTTAGGGACAGGGCATAATTAGGGATAGCAGCCATTGTTCCTTTGTTGAGCTCTCCTCCTGTGCAGCCTAAAGATAGAACTATCTTGTGTTGAGCCCTCCCCCAATGCAGCCAAAACTGAATCTGCATTGGCCTGGCAAGATCTGTTCACTCTACCCAGGTGACTTCCTGAGACCTTGCCTCACCCAACTCACAAGTTGCCTGTATCAATTTTGGTTGGTTATTGGGCAACTAGGATTATCCCACACCCTCAGTAGGAAGTTCTTTCTGCAGCAATCAACAGGCCTTCACTTGAACACTTCAGGAGACAGTTTTGGTGGTGGGCAACAGCCTCAGAAATAACTGCAGTATTTCTTAAACAAATCTCAAGGGTCTGTAGGCATGAGGCATTCAGCAGTTAGCTTGGGTGTGAGATGATAATTTTGCAGGTGATCACAGGCTCAGCTCTGGCAATAAATCTTTATCTGCACTGACCTGGGGGACTCCACTTGCTCTACCCTAATGACTCTCTGAGACCCCATCTCATCAAATTCTGGTATTCCAGAGGCTCATTCATCTGCTGAGCCTTAGTGGCAATAGACAGACAGCTTCAGGCGTGAGAGTGCCCTGGGCCTTTTGCTGAGCTTCCCCAGGCCCAGTGCAGGTGACAGGTGGCCTCGGTTTACCACATGGCTCTGTCCACATACCTCCAGGTCCAGCTAAGGCAGCAATCAAACACAGATAGCTTTGTACCTCTTACCAAGTAGCTCCAGACTAGTCACAGGCAGTGGCTGACATTGGTTTGCACAAAAACCTCTCCCAAGGGGCTCCAGAACCAACACATTCAAAAGCTGGTGTTAGACCTCAACAAGGCACTACCTAATTAACCCCACAATGGCAGAGTGGTCTGAAGAGTCACACAAAACCACTGAGGTAAATGCCACTCCATGGGGTCAGCCCACACACATCTGATACATTGTGGATATGAAAAATCCTTACAGCCAGTAAGCCTGAGAGTCATTTCTACCCAATGATATGCCAACAGCAATCAAGGCTCAATTACAACATGAAGGCACTTGCAACCACAAAGAGTCATTACTGAAGCATCTGGAGCAGGCGATTAGGGAGACTATGCCACTGAGATGGATGTACAGGACACCTACTACATAAGGCCACCAAGCTAAGACTGGGAAATATAGCAGATCTACC